AGCACCACCCCAAACCTGCCTTGCCAACCCCAGGCAACCCTCAGCACTGCCCAGAATGTGGCACACTGTCACCCCCCCTTTCCTCCCCCCGCCCTTAGCACTGTCCAGGGGTGATTTAAAGGGCCCAGAGCTCTGGGAGCCACCGCTCCTGCTACAGTGGCAGCAGTGGCCAGGAGCCCCATGCCTCTTTGAATTACTGAGCCCAGGGGCAACTGTCCTCTTTGTCCCACATTTGTCGGTAGGGCTACATCATAATGAAGGCCCTTGCTTCAGTGACAGAAGGAGATTCTTTAAAGACTTTATGTAATCCACTCCCTGAATACTCAATAGCTAGCACAATGTAAAAATCACTGAGAGAATCACTGAAGCAACCCTCTTGCAGCAGGGAGGACCTAAGAGAAGTCTAGCAGGAGGCACATATAAAGGGGATGTGCAAAAGTAGGATTATTTAGCTTGGAAAAGAAAAATCAGTTTTTTCTGACAAAAGAACAATCCCATAATCCAGAGATTATCAAACAGTTTGTTGGGGTCAGGTTGGACTAGGCTTCATCTTGCTACTTTTTATTAGAGCACATATATTCTATTTTACTCTGTAGAGATACCAGTGTGGAAATTTTTTCAGCTAAAATCACTGACGGCAAGAAATCACTATTACATTTTTATTTAAAAGAAGTAATCATAGTCAAAATTGTGATTTTATAAGCATAGCTTGCCTCCTTTCCAACTGCTGCATAATCTGTAGTGATGTCGTAAAGAATTCCCTCTGACTTAGTGCAAAGCCCAGCCAAGTCCATGTAGAGGGGAGGAGGGTTAGGGTAAAACGCTATACAGGCTGCTTTCTTCAGCAGCTGGAAGGCAAACTGCTTTTAGGCACCTATTTACAAAAGGAGAATAGCCGGAAGGTGAACTCTTACAATCATTTTAAACGGTGCTAATATTGTTTGGAACAGTGTTCCTCAAACTTCTTGAAATTCTTAGCACATAGGTCACACATTTCTATTAATTATAATCAGAATGGCTCCACCCACTCTTTTGCCATATAGACACTAAGTCTTTGTTGCTGATACAAGGGTTCAGGCTGCGAATTTTTTTTCTAAAATGTGTGTGTGTGGGGGGGGGGTGTTTTTTGTTTTGATTTGGCAGCTGCTAAGTGGTCTGTGTGGGGTTTTTTTTTATCCAGCTATAAAGAAATTTGTCAGGACAATAGCCTTGTCTGGAAATGAACGAATGAATATAATGTTACCTGGTTCATTTCAAAGGCAGAAAGAAGCTGTTCTGAAGTTTCTAAATTCTAGGGATAAAATTCTACCCTCAATGGGGTGATTTGGCGTTAGCTGGAGAAGGGGATGAAATCTACCAATGTAGGAAATTCCGCCTTCATTTTCACACTCCCTCTTACAGGTTGGAACACAGTGCACTTGCAGTCATGATAGTAGCATTACTTACATTTATGTTATTGTAGCATTTTGCTATTCAGTTCTTTCATTGTGTTTTTTATTTCCCACGTAATCAGACCAGATACATAGGACATCTGTTATATGGGTTAACATATTTTATTCTCTGCTGCCTAGTTTTGCATAGCTGTGGGTTTTACCACTGCTACTGTTCAGCCCTGTTATGTGAAGGTTCAGTTTTGCACGCCATCCAAGTACAGTGTGGGCCTGTACACGCTGATTCCCAACTGTTCTGTTTTGTTATCTTTCACAGCAAGTTCAGGCTCCAGTCGACACGTGCAATTCTAGGAAGTTTGAGATGCACATCTGATTCATCTGGCAGACTCTGGCCAAACAGTTAATTTTATCCCTGTCAATTATATATATAATTGACAGAATTTCAGTATCTCTGGAAAATGTGTTGGTTTTTTCTGATGTAGAATGGCTGCATAAAGATTCTCCATTTTTTTAAGAGTGTAATACC